CAGGGATGGGTTTCAATTTTTTTTTACTACTGGTTCTGTGTATGTGGCTTTCATTCCCTCCTTTCTTCCATACAGATTTCCTACAGCTCTGAACCCTTAAGGCAAACCAAATACAAGTGGTCCTTGCTTAATGGCCGGTTGCTTAGCAAGTGTTCTAATTTATGACTGACCTCTCAAGAACTACTTGATCTGTTTTTGGAGTTTTGACAGCCATGGGCTCCCTCCCTCCCCCACCTCTTTTTTGCAAGAAATTTTTATTTTTATTAAACAAACANCATGCCCATCAAGCCATGCCCACCAAGTCATGCCATGCCCACCAAGCCATGCCCACAGAACCAGTAGTAAAATGTTTTGAATCCCACCACTGCCTCTACTCCTTTCTAAAGTTTAGGCATGTTTGCCATAATCATCAGCACAATAGTTTGTGTTTTGTTATCAGCAGCAGCCGATAAAATAATGGAACTTTCACAATATGATGAGCTTCATTTAGTAAAGTAAAGGAGAAAAGCTGTTAACTTTTAATGTTTAGTTTTGGATTTTGTATAGTTCTCAAATTTCAGTCTGCATAGTTTTAGCATTTTAACATATTTTAATTATTTTTCTATTTGTTGTATAATCAAAGTAACTATTTTTATGGGTGGCATAAAATTTAATAAATAAATAATAAAATATGCAAACATATTTTGCAAACATGTCAATTCCTTAAAAATTAATACATAGTAATGCCATTGCCTTTTCAATAGTCAGCAGACATTTATGCTACTAGCGTTAAGCTCTTTCAAATTCAAGATACTAGCTACTGTACACTCTATTTATCCTTTATAATGATTACAGAAATTGTATCTCTTCCTTTCCATTTATATATAAAGCAACTGCCCAAATTTTCTTTGTAGAGTGAGATGGGTGGCATTTAAATTTAATAAGTAAATAAATTCTGCTTGTTTCAGCAAATGTGCAGGTTGTAATAACATAGAAGAGATTTCAACCTTATATAAATTACAATATGCAAATAGAAAACCAGTAATAAGTAACCATTTTATCAGTCTTCAAAAGAGGAATGGAAGGTAATGACACTTGGGTGGATTTAAAGGACAAATAGGATGCCCATTTCATCCTTTAAATTTCCACCTCCTCCTACCATAAACTTCGATCTAGCCTACTTTTGGAATGCAGCCCTTGACATAACTGGGAAACCACCCTTTAAAAGAGCATTAAAATTAAAGTGAATCTTTCCTCATACATTGGATAAATGATCAGAGGATCCTCATACTGTACCTATTTTTATTTCTGAGGGTGGGTGGGAGAGATATTTAAATGTTGGATATAGGTATATTTTTTGGATGATGCTCTCTTTGGGGAATTGTTTCAATTTTTTACTATTTTTATATGTTAAATTGTCCAAAATTTTGGAGTTGGACAACCTACACATCTGAAATATAAATGAATAAATACACCTGATGTGGTCCTTCAGCCAATTAAGTTGCACATGGTTTGGTTTTTGCTTCTCTTAGCAAATCATCTGTCAGAAACTTTCATGAAAGACAGTCTCTTAGCCAACCATTTTGTGTCAACCTTACTCTTGACAAACATGGCATGCATAATTCAGTATTTTCTTGACTTGCTGATGATTTGTCTTTCAATTCTTCACATATCCATATAGCTTCTGAGAAATATAATTGCCAACTACACAAACATATGCAGGAATAACATGTTAGGCAGTGCCACTGCTGTGAGTTAACATAAGACACCGTGACCTCGGACCTGAAGTCCTTCCATCATGCAGCAGAAGACAGATAAGGAAGAAGCTCAGGATGTCTTTAGGTAAGGAGAACATGTTCTATAGTTAGGGCTTGAGAGTATAATCTTGCTGTTTTCCTCTGACTCAGAGAATGAACCCTCCAGCAGAATCTCAATCTTCTCAGCATTGCAAAATTCTTAAACATTAAAACTAAGTGAGGAATTTATGTGAGGATCATTGTGGTTTGAAAGGAATTACCTTGTTATAGATTGGCTGCCTATGTGTTTCCAGTTGGCTTTACATTACTGGTGGGATAGCATCAGAGGTGGGTTCCTCCCATTACAGTCTGGTACGCCAGAAGAAGATCTGGCATACCGGACTGGACCGGTAGTGATGGCAGCCTGGCCATGTCCCCGTACTAGCGAAAGAAAGAAACAGCTAAGGAAGGAAGAGGAGTGGAGGCCGTGGCTGTTGGAAGAAGTGCCCGTGCTTCGTTCTCTTTGAGAACCGCGTTGCTTGCTGTAGGGAGAAAACAGAAGGAGAGAGGAAGAAGAAAGCTGAGCTTCTGCTAGGGATGGCCTTCTCCTCCCTCTCTCCCCCTGATTTCTCCCCACAGCAAGCAAGGCATCTGTCAAAGAGAATGAAGTACGGGTGCTTCTTCCAACAGCTGAGGAAGGAAGAGGAGCGGAGGCCTTGGCTGTTGGAAGAAGCGCCCGTGCTTTGTTCTCTTTGAGAGCTGCCTTGCTTGCCATGGGGAGAAATCAGGGGGAGAGAGGGAGGAGAAAGCCAAGCTTCTGCTAGGGATGGCCTTCTCCCTCTCTCCCCCTGATTTCTCCCCGGCCGCACTCGTGGAGGAAGGAGGCAGGGATGCTGCCTGGTGCTTGCTTCCCTTAGTGCTTGCCACCGCCGCCCCTGTAGGATGGAGTGTTACCACCCCCTCCCCATCGGTGCAGCCCTGCCTGCCCTGCTTAGCTGAGTGGCTGGCTGGGAAAGCAGCGAGGGGGTGAGTGGCAGTGAGTGGTAAGAGAAGTGAGTGCTGGCCAGCATCCCAGCATCCTTCCTCCGAGAGCCGCAACAGCAGGGGAAACTGATGTTCCTTTGCCAGCCACCCAGCTGGCAAAACATTTTTTTGCACTTCTGTGGGCATGGCTAGGTGGGGGGGCATGTGACTGGGTGTGTGTGAGTGACATCAAGTAGGCCACTCCCACTCAGTCACCCCCTCCCAGCCACACCCACAGAACTGGTAGTAAAAAAGTTTGGAATCCACCGCTGGATAATATTATTTGATGTTTAAATTTTAAGAAGGGCATAATGTCTTCATTTGAGACTTATTTGGAGATATTCAAGAGCCTGTTTTTCCACTTTACTTTATCGGAATGATAGTGGGACTATCTTGAGTTTGTCTAGTATATTTAATTTGCTTTGTTTTCCTGCACAGATTTAATCAATGTCCCTTAATTTTCTTTTCTCACTTAAATCTAAGAGCATAAGTTTTCAATTGGAGGCAGCACAAAATGGGGCTTTTGCCTAAAATATTTAATTTTTCCTTAGAATATAGAGAGCTATATTTCACCAGATCTTTAAGGGAAGAATTATGAAATTCATTCTGAGCTGGTGATTTTTCACATAATGCTAAAATTGAGGTTTGGAGAATATTTGGAGGGGCGCATAAAAGGACAGATATGGATGAATGTCTACTGTTTCTTTTGATGCCAAGTGCAATTTTCACTGCATCAGACAGATTTAGAGAAGAGAAGAAAACTTATTTTTTAATTTTTTTTATGGAGAAACATTCCTTTAAAGGGTTTCTTGCCAATTCAAATATAGACTTCTGAATTAATGGATTTTGCCCTCCTGATTGCTGCAGACAAATGAATGAAATTGCCTCTTAGACCGAAAATGATCATGTCTCTCACAGCTGATCCAAACGGAATATTAAAAAAATTAAAATCAAAAGATATTTAGTCCTAGATGACACTAATAAATACCCCGTGGCTTCTTATTTTTGTTACCTTAACAAAATTATTTTAGAATACGTTTGTGAAGTAGCCAGCACATTGTCTACTATTCAAATGGTTGCATCTCTATGTCTTCGCTTGTCTTATCAGTGTATTATATTTAGTCCTCCACTTATTACTACAACTGAGCCCAAAATTTATGTTGCTAAGTTATTAAGTGAATTTTGCCCCATTTGACAATTTTTCTTACTACATTTGTTAAGTGAATCACTGCAGTTGTTAAGTTAGTGACCCAATTTTTAAGTGAATCTAGCTTCCCCATTGACTTTGTTCAGAAAAAGGAGGATTAGGACTTCCCGATTGGAAGCTTTATTATCAAGCAGCAATTCTCACCTGGATAAGGGACTGGAACAATCTAAAAAAAAAAACAACAGAAGATTACTAACAATAGACGGTTATAATTTGGAACTGGGTTGGCATGCCCTTATCTGATATGGGAAAGACAAAATTCATAGCTATTTCCAAAAACGTTTAATCAGAAAAGCTCTACTTCAAATATGGTTAAAAATAAAAACAAAACACTACAACAAAATCCCAATTTTGCTATCCACCAGGGAAGCTCTGATATATCTGAACATATTGGACATAAATAAGATAATAAGATATAAAGACATATTAGATAACCAAGAAAGACGAAAAACAAGGCAAGAATTGAAAGAAGAGGGAATAGATATAGGCTGGTGGCCCATACCAGGTAAGGTATAAAAAAGACAGGGAAAGGGATGGACTTTATAAGNTCTAAGTGTTATTGCTAAGTGGGAAGGAAGGAAGGAGGGAGGGAGGGAAGGAAGGCAGGCAGGCAGGCAGGCAGGCAGGAGGCAGACAGGCTCTAAAGCATTGTGAAGTGGTATATAAGTCTAAGTGTTATTGCTAAGTGGGAAGGAAGGAAGGAGGGAGGGAGGGAAGGAAGGCAGGCAGGCAGGCAGGCAGGCAGGAGGCAGACAGGCTCTAAAGCATTGTGAAGTGGTATATAAGTCTAAGTGTTATTGCTAAGTAGGAAGGAAGGAAGGAAGGAAGGAAGGAAGGAAGGAAGGAAGGAAGGAAGGGGCATGGTGGAACAGGGATTAGAATACAGTATTGCAGGCTACCTCTGCTGACTGCCAGGAGTTTGGCAGTTCGATCCTGACCAGCTCAGGTTTGACTCAGCCTTCCATCCTTCCAAGGTCGGTAAAATGAGGACCAAGATTGTTGCGGGGCAATATGTTGTAAACCACTTAAAGAGAGCTGTGAAACTGTAACAAAGTCTAAGTGCTATTGCTATTACCTGAGTAGTGCTTGTCTCGGTTTTCATCCAGCTCAGTACTCGTGGTGGCCACAGTGTCTGCTAGGGCTACCAAGAACATTTGCTCCAGTCGAGTCAGTCCGGGCAAACTTGAGTGCATTAAGTGGCTTGACAGGACACTGGCGTGCTCTTGGCCAAAGTACGTTGGTCCATACTGGGAGAGGTTAATCACTTTGGATTTATGTTCTCTTCTCTCTGGCTCGAAATCGATGAAGTCATCGGTGGTGACCTGCTGGACTTGGAAAAGATCGGAGTATTGATCCTCAGCCTTCCTCTTCCTACGATCTCTCAGATCTTTGATTTGTTTAGGGGCTTCCTCCGTTTTGTAGGTGGAGTCTTGGTCGGCTGACAGCAAGGCATACAACGGTAGCGGCGGGATGGAATCAATCTCGGTGTAATCCCGCGTGCCTTCCTTCCCAGTGGTGACGGCATCCTTTGCCGTACTGCCACTCACGCTGATCGTGCGGGAGAGATGGCGCTTGGAGCCCCCATCAGCCGCTTCCAGGTCTTTCACGATAGCAACTTCGCCTGCGATGCATTTGACGAGGTGGGAGAGGATAGCTTTCGCTCTGCGGACTTTCCCCAAGTCCATCAGCTCCAGAAGCTGGGTGGGATGATACTGGGGCAGAGTTGGCGAAAGGACGAAAGCGGCTTCGAACAGCCCACCGTCTTGAATGACGGTGGGGGTACCGAAGATGTCATCCATCACGCCCGCTCCGTCAATGATGCTGGCTTTTTTGGCGAGCGAGCTAGCCTTCAACGGGTCCGTCACGGGGGAGTCATCAAGGGGGAAACCGTTGCTTTCTGCATTCCCAGATTTTAGGACATGCTTCCACTGGGCATAGACGTGCATTTCACAGTCCATTCCCACCACCAGGATACCATCTCGCACCCAAGAAAGGGAAACGGGCAGGGAAGGAGTGCCATCCACCGAAGACACCAAATCAATGGATCTCAGAAGTATCCATCTGGACTTGATGCCTTGCTTGATGCTCCCGCCGAGCGGTAAAGTAATGACCGCCACGCCATCTTTGCTGCTGGTTTGTTCCGTCACAACTCCCGAGATGCGTCCGTACATGAATATATTTGCGCCGACCCCGACCGTAAGGATATGGGAACCATCTTCCTTGGAAACCCAGTCTAAGTGGACCAGGTGCTTGATGTTCGGGATAAGGGATCGGTCCTTATTCAAAAAGATTTCAGATTTACTGTAGACAAACAAGTTGCTGTCTACGCTGACCCTGGGATCCAGGACGCTCCCGACTTTAAGGAGGTCATCCAGATGGATGGTCTGTTCCACAACCCATTCCGAACCACCGGTAGACTCACACTCAAAGATACACACGTGCATAGAGAATTCTTTGGAAGCGACGCCGCTCGGCTGGATGGGTTGCTTATAGGCTACCGCCAAGCGGCCAGTGTAAGAGCAGCTAACGGCGACTGGTCTCCCCACGATGCAAACGGTGCTGGTGGCGTCTTCTTGCTCATCGTTCATCAAAGGCCATTTCTTCCAGGAATAGGTTTCTTTGGTTCCCCCTTGGCCGTTTTCTGTAGTTTCCAGGGAACATCTCCAGAATCGGACTTTATTGTCCGAACAGGACGTCACCAACAAATACGGGGCCAGACAGACAGGATAGATGGAGGAGGAACTCAGATGCCCTGAGTTTAAATCAGATAATTATTAGGATTGGAAATAAGAGTTTCATGAACGCAAACTTCAAAGCAAATCAATTGTTAGGCATGAACCGCCAGGCTGACCCACGTGGGTAGCATTTAAACTAGGTACCGTATTTTTTGGAGTATAAGACGCACCCTTTTCCCTCGAAAAGAGGGTGAAAATCTGGCCACGTCTTATACACTGAGTACAGCATTTTTTTGCCTCCCAAAACCCCGCCCTCTTTGCAAAAATGGCTGTGTATAGCCTTCAGGAGGCTTCCAGAGTGTTCCTGGGGGCTGGAGAGGGCAAAAATGAAGGAAAAACGGGTATGTCCCAGCCCCCAGGAGCACTCTATAAGCCTCCTAAAGGCTATGCATGCCTTCTTTTTTTTTTTGGGACAAAAATGGGTCCGTTTTAGCAAAAATTGGCCCATTTTTTGCTCATTTCTGCGGGCCCAAATGGTAACTTTGGTATAACTTTATATAGTTATTTTATATGTAAGTGGCTAAATATGTTTATTTAAAACATTTATATACCACCACCATCTATCTATCTATCTATCTATCTATCTATCTATCTATCTATCTATCTATCTATCTATCTATCTATCTATCTATCTATCTATCTATCTAT